TAAGCAGAAAAAAGCCGGAAGTGGCACTGTGGCTCAAGTGGTAGAGCACTAGCCTTGAGCTGAAGAGCTGAGGGACAGCGTCCAGGCCCAGAGTTCAAGCCCCATGACTGACAAAAAAAATAAAAATGATGATGGCTCTGAGCTTTAGCCCAGAGCCACAGGGAGAGCGGTCTCAACCAGAAGAGCCAGGCCTAGCCTCTTTCTCTCTTCCCAGGGGTGGGCAGCACCATTACCTCCGGGGGGTCGTGGCAGCTGCTGTATTTGCCTCTTGTTTGTGGGGTGCCCTGATCTTCACCCTGCACGTGGCCCTGAGGCTGCTCCTGTCCTACCACGGCTGGCTTCTCGAATCTCACGGGACCATGTCCTCGCCTACCAAGACCTGGCTGGTATGTCCGGGGACCCCCGCACCAAGCTCCCCCAGGACACACAACTCAATCCCCTTCCCACATCCTCGTGTGAAGATGAATCATAAAGATCTTTCAGAGACTCCGTCCTAATTTTTTGTCCACTTTTCTGGGTTTCAGTCTTATTGAATGGGGATCCCTTATTCCCTGGTCTCAGGCGCCAGTGAGAGATGTAATGACCTTATAACCCTCTACCTGCCCAGGCCCTGGTCCGCATCTTCTCTGGCCGCCACCCAATGCTCTTCAGTTACCAGCGCTCCCTGCCGCGCCAGCCAGTGCCCTCGGTGCAGGACACCGTGTGCAAGGTGGGCCTGGAGATAGCAGTGGGGGAACAGGTGGATGGCGAGGCAGCAGTGGGGAGCAGAGCATGATGCCCTCTTCTTCTCCACCCTTCCCTTCAGTACCTGGAGTCAGTCCGCCCCGTCCTCTCCGATGAGGACTTTGACTGGACTGCGGGGATGGCGCAGGAGTTCTTGAAGCTGCAGGCATCGCTGCTGCAGTGGTACCTGTGGCTCAAGTCCTGGTGGGCGTCCAATTATGTGAGTCCGGCCGCGAGGCCCCACCCCTCCATCAAAGCTTGGGAGCCTTTCGCCCCGCCCCACGGTCCTTAGTTCCGCCCCTCCATGACACGCCCACAAACCCCAGACCCGGCTGCGATTGGAGCCTCAGCCAGAGTGCTAACCTCAGGCCCACCCCCTACGTGAGGAAACAGGCCACGCCCCAGATGCAATAGCTCCACCCCATAGACACTTGCCCCGCCCCACGACACGCCCACAGAGTTCAGGCCCTGCTGCGATTGGAACCTCAAGAACTTCAGCCACTCCGGCCAACTTTCCTGCCAGAGGAAACAGGCTCCGCCCCCAAACCCAGTAGCCCCGCCCCTTGCCCCAGGAAGCCTCTGTGTGGACAGAGAAGATGGGTGGGCGCCCCCATCCTTCCCTCCCCCTCAAACCCCGCCCACCCACTCCTGCTCAGGTCACCGACTGGTGGGAAGAATTTGTGTATCTGCGGTCTCGCAACTCGCTGATGGTGAACAGCAATTACTATTTAATGGTGAGCGGGGAGGGGTGGAGATGGAGCACCCCCAGAGTCTGCGAGCCGGGACGAGGGAGGTGCGCAAAACAGCCTCAATCTGAAGCCGGGCGCTGGTGGCTCACGCCTGTAATCCTAGCTACTCAGGAGGCTGAGATCTGAGGATCGCGGTTCAAAGCCAGCCCAGGCAGGAGAGACCGTGAGACTCCTATCTCCAATAAACCACCAGAAAACCGGAAGTGGTGCTGTGGCTCAAGTGGTAGAGCGCTCGCCTTGATGCCTAAGGCCCTGGGTTCAATTCCTCAGCACCACATAAGCAAAAAGAAAAAACCGGAAGTGGTGCTGTGGCTCAAGTGGTAGAGCGCTCGCCTTGAGCTGAAGAGCTGAGGGACAGCGCCCAGGCCCAGAGTTCAAGCCCCATGGCCAACAAAAAAAAAAACAGCCTCAATCTGGGACCACAGTCTAGGAATTCACTGCCCTCTTGGGGAGCCAGGGTTCCCCCCTGCACACACACTGGGGCAAACTTGACCTCAGGTAGTTTGCTGATCCCTTCACGGGTCCCCAGGACTTCCTGTATGTCACACCCACGCCGCTGCAGGCAGCTCGGGCGGGGAACGCTGTCCATGCCCTTCTCCTGTACCGCCATCGGTTGACCCGCCAGGAGATCCCACCGGTATGTGAGCTCCTGTGGGGTCCGGGGCGGGGAGTGGGGGGCACAGGCATTCGGACCCCCTGGGGCCTCATCCACAGCTCACCAGCTCATGGCCTCCTGCAGACTATGCTTATGGGGATGCGTCCTTTGTGCTCTGCCCAATATGAGAAGATATTCAACACTACCCGGGTGCCAGGGTTGGAAAAAGGTGAGGCCTCCCCCCCCCCCCCCCCCCCCCCCCCCCTCTCCCCCCCCTCCCCCCCCCCCCCAAGAAGCAGCTGTCTCTGCAGCCAGCCTGCTTGGGTTCAGCCCAGTTTCCATTGTTTCCTGTGTGGCCTTGGGGAAATTCTTACCCTTTCTGAGTCTGTTTCCTCATCTCTCAAATGGGAAATAGGATACTGGTACCTAAGAGCTGACTGAGTATGACATAATCGCACCCAGCTAAGGCAAGAGGATGACAAGTTCAAGGCTAGAGCCAGACCTCATTTCAATCAACATCAGCAGCAGCAACAACCTGGCATAATGGCTCATGCCTGTAATCATGGCTACTCAGAAGACAGAGATTGGGAGGACTGAGGCCGATAAAGCAAAATCCTATTCATAAATGAACTAAGGCAAGAAGGGCTAGGAACATAACTCAAGTGGTAGAGCACCTACATGTGAAGCTTCGAGGTCTGAGCTCCAACCCCAGGACCATCAGAAAATAAGAGTATTTAAGAGTGGTGAAGAGGGCTAGGAAGGTGGCTCAGTGCTAAAGTGCTTGCTTGCATGCATGAGGCCCTGGGTTCAATTCCTCAGTACCACATAAGCAGAAACAGCTAGAAGTGGCTCAAGTGGTTGAGTGCTAGCCTTGAACAAAAGAAATTCAGTGTCAGTGCCCAGGCCAAGTTCAAGCCCCAGGTCTGGCAAAACAACAACAAAAAGAATGATGAAGATAAAAAGAGCCAGGTGCCAGTGGCTCACACCTGGGCACTGAGCCTCAGCTGTTTTGCTCAAGGCTGATGCTTTACCACTTGAGCCACAGCCCTATTTCCCATTTTCTGGTGGTTCATTAGAGATCAGAGTCTCATGGACTTTCCAGCCTGGGCTGGCTTTGAACCCCAATCCTCAGATCTCAGCCTCTTGAGTAGCTAGGATGACAGGCATGAGCCATGGCACCTGGCTTTCATTATCCTTACATTGTGTGTCATCTTTCCCATCTTGTGCCACTATGACTCCTAGACTCCCTCTGCCACCTCCCGGACAGCCGCCATGTGGCCGTTTTCCATCGGGGCCGATTCTTCCGCGTGGGGACCCATTCCCCCAATGGCTTGCTGTCCCCACGGGCTCTGGAGCAGCAATTCCAGCGCATCCTGGATGACCCCTCGCCGGCCTATCCCCACGAGGAGCACCTGGCGGCCCTCACAGCTGCTCCCAGGTGAGCATTCAAGGCCAGGCACTCCCCAAGTGTCCTGGGGTTGAGGAATGGCCAGCTGGGGGCCGGGGGACAGGGCCGGCCGGGCTCAGGTGCGTCCCACCCGACAGGGGTATGTGGGCCCAGGTGCGGGAGTTGGTGAAGGCCCGGGCTGCTGCTGCTTTGGAGGCTGTGGAAGGAGCCGCTTTCTTTGTGTCTCTGGATTCGGAGCCTGGAGGCCTCACAAGGGAGGATCCGGCTGTCTCCCTTGATGCCTATGCCCACAGGCTGCTGGCCGGCCATGGTCATGACCGGTGAGTCCACCCACACCTGGTAGCTAGACCCCTGACCTCCTTCCCCAAAGACAAGACCTGTGATCTCAGCCCTGGTGCTCTCTAGATCCGGGGCCCATTTGTATCTGAGGCCCCCAGACCCAGTGCTTTGGAGCTGGGAGGCCCTCTTTTCCCTATCCAAACAATCCCTCAGCCTGGGACTCCTGCCTCATATCCCAGACTTGAGGATGGCCAAACCCCCAACCTGTAACTCCAGCTTGGCAATATGGACCAGAGGGCATGTGCCTTTTTGTGCTGGTATCCCAAACCCAGGACCCTCTCCTGGAACCCCATTCCCAGAATTCCAGCCCAATTCTTGATTTCCCAAGCCCTGGATGTCTCCCAACTTCCCTATCACCTCAAAAATTCTTAGAACCTAGAACCTCAAACCTGTAATCCTAGCTACTCAGGAGGCTAAGATCTGAGGATTGAAGCCAGAAGCTAACCCCAGCAGAAAAAGTCCTTGTGAGACTCTTACCTCCAATCAACCACTTTTTGCCTTAAGCAAAAAGAGCTCAGGGACAGTGCATAGGCCCTGTCTGTGTTCAATCCCCAAGACTGACCAAAAAGATCTCCCTAAGTCCTCCAGCCAAATGCCACAATCGGGCTACCACTAGATCCCCACATTCTGAAATATCACAGAGCAGGCCCTAAGTCTCCCCATTTCCCCCGCCCCCCGCCCCTCCCAGCTCTTTGTGATCCTGATGGGAACTCTCCCCACAGCTGGTATGACAAGTCCTTCACCCTTATTGTCTTCTCCAACGGGAAGCTGGGCCTCAGCATGGAGCACTCGTGGGCCGACTGCCCCATCTCAGGACATATGTGGGAGGTAGGGCAGCCAACCTCCCCCAGGCTGGGGACCCCCCAACACACGTCCAAACCTTCCCCCCCACTCCCCACGGCCCTAGGCAGAGGTTAAGCTGAGGCTCTGAGAAAGGAAAGTGTAGGCCTAGCAAAGATGAACATCTGGGATGGTGAACTTTTAAGAGTTCAGGGGCCTGACCCTTGAGATTCTTCTCCATGCTAGACCATCACTCCACCACTTGAGCCACGCCCCGATCCTTTTTTGTTCCCAATTTATTTTTGAGACAGAGTCTTCCTAACTTTGCCCACACTGGCCTTGAATTCCTGATCCTCCTGTCTTAGTCTCCCTCAGAGTTGGGTTTACAGGTGTTCTCCACCATACCTGGCTAAATATCGAAGGTAGAGACACTACTGAGTGTAAGAAGAAGAGAAAGATGAGGCCGGGTGCCGGTAGCTCACACCTGAGATCTGGGGATGACGGTTCAAAGCCAGTCCGGGCAGGAAAAGCCCGTGAGACTCTTATCTCCAATAAACCACTCAGAAAACCAGAAGTGTTGCTGTGGCTCAAGTGGTAGAGCACTAGCCTTGAGCGGAAGAGCTGAGGGACAGTGCCCAGGCCCAGAGTTCAAGCCCCACAACTGACAAAAAAAAAAAGAGAGAGAGAGAGAAAGATGATGCTGGGCATGGTGATACACACCTTTAATCCTAGTACTTGGGGGACTGAGGGAGGAGGATCAGGAATTGGAGGCCAGCCAGCCTGGACAAAAATTAATGAGATAAACAATCTGCTAAATAAACAAAAGGGAATGTATTTCAGTGGTAGGATGCTTTCCTAGTGTGCCTGAAGCCCCAGGTTCTATCCCCAGTACAAGGAAGGAAGGAAGGGAGGGAAGGAAGAAGGAAGAGGAAGGAAGGGAGGGAGGGAGTATGGTGGCTAGATCCTTGGGAAAGAAGAGAAGGAGCTGGTAACTGAGCACCTGCTGAGCTTTTATTAGTCTGGTTCTCAATGAACATGAACTTGAGACTCCATTTGTGAACCTCAGAGGTTTCTGGTTCTCAGAGATTTCTCCTCCTGGTCTCCCTGAGGGGCAGATCTCAGTTTCGAGGGCCTCAGTTCAAAGGAAGGGAGGGGGTCTGGCAGCTTCTGTTGTTTGTCTACAGTTCACCCTGGCCACAGAATGCTTTCATCTGGGCTATTCGGCAGATGGCCACTGCAAGGGACAGCCTGATCCTACGCTGCCCTGGCCTGAGCGGCTACAGTGGGACCTCCCAAACCAGGTGAGGATGCGATTCTGGAGCTCTCCTCCCAGTCCCCAAATCTCCATCTCCAAGCTCAACTGAAGAATCAGTCTTACTCCAGTCCCAACATTCAGATCGAACTAAACACACTGCAGCCTAATACCCACCCTGTCACTGATTCTGGCCCCAGCCCCCACTCTAACCTATTTCCTGGCTGCCCAGTCCCTGTTACATCGCCAACTTCTTAATTCACAGTACGAGCAAGATCGTCTACCCTGCCTAAGTTCAGCTCATCTCTGGCCACAACTCCAGCCTCGATCTCACTTTGATCACCACACCCAATCTCACACACTGGTCCCAACCCACTCCCCAAACCTTCTCAATCCCATCACTGAACTCTAATTTAAGCTTAGCTTAAGTCTATTCCCATCATTCTTACCTTCTATGGCTCCATTCTTAGCCTCCTGCCATTCTGTCCCTTCTTTCCCTCTTCTCACCCCAACCCTGATTTCACCTTCCTGCCATCCCCCCATCTGTAACAACACCCATGTCTCCCTCCCTCCCTCCCTCCCTCTGGCAGGTTTATCCCTCCATCTCTCTAGCCCTGAGGGGAGCCAAGACCTTAGCTGGAAACATCGACTGCCATGTCTTCCCCTTCTCCCACTTTGGCAAGAGCTTCATCAAACACTGCCACTTCTCTTCAGACAGCTTCATCCAGGTGGCCCTGCAGCTGGCCTACTTCCGGGTCAGTTGGGTTCCCCAATTCCAGCTCCTCTAGAACCCCAGTCCCCCTAGGGCCTCCCACATACCTGCCTCTTCAGCCTCCTCCATATCTCCTCTTGGTCTTGGCCCGCGGTACATCCACCATCTTGATTTCTTTTCTGAGGGGGAGGAGGCATCTGGGGGCCTGACCACGTGGGGCAAATCTGGGAAAAAGACATCCTGAGCATCTGACAAGGCTCTTCTTCTTGTCCCACAGGACAGGGGTCACTTCTGCCTGACTTATGAGTCAGCCATGACTCGCTTGTTCCTGGAAGGCCGGACAGAGACAGTGAGGTCTTGCACCAAGGAAGCATGCAACTTCGTGAAAGCGATGGAGGACAAAGAGAAGACGGTGTGGGCCTGGCCCACATACTCTGTGTTTCTCAGTTTGCATATATTAGTGGGTCAGGATGTGTGAGGGGCACTGGGAACAAGGGATAAGTAACCCAGACCTGGTCAGTGGCTCCAGGGAATCCATGCATAGACAGACAGCCCAGGGAAGGGTGTGCTGTGCTTTAGTGGGGGCCACAGGGCCATTTCCACTGCCACTGTGTAGCGTGCTCTCCCTCCTCCCTCTCTTTCTCCCTGTCAGTGATAAGGCTTGAACTCGGGGCCTGAACACTCTCCTTGAGCTTTTTTGCTCAAGACTAGCTCTGTACCACTTTGAGCCACAATGCCATTTCCGGTGTTCTGGGGGTTAATTGGAGATGAGGGTCTCATGGACTTTCCTGCCCTGGATAGCTTTGAATTGCAATCCTCAGATCTCAGTCTCCTGAGTAGTTAGGATTACACCAGCACCTAGCTTCTTTTTTGTTTTTTTCTGAGACAAGGTGTCACTAGGTAGTCCCAGACTGGCCTCAGACTTAAAATCCTCCCACCTCAGCCTCCTGAGTGCTGAGATTACAAGCATACATCATCATGCCTGACTCTCTTTAGACTCTGTGTCACCTTGTGTCTGCCAGGGGTGGACACACCTGGCTTACAGGCATTGGGGCAGGTACCTTGAGGCTGATGTACCCTAGGCTCACCTTTGTAAGCCCTTTTCCTCTCTTCCATGATCTGCGGCCTCCGTGGGGACCCCAGGCCTCCCAGTGCCTCACCTTGTTCCGCATGGCAGTGGATAAACACCAGACTCTGCTCAAGGCAGCCATGACCGGGCAGGGGATTGACCGGCACCTCTTTGCGCTCTACATTGTCTCCCAGTTCCTCCATCTGCAGTCGCCCTTCCTCGCCCAGGTTGGGGCTGCAGGGAAAGGGTTAAAGAGGGAAACCGCTGGGAAGAGGGAAAGTTCTGTGGGGTTTGGTGGAGGGAGGAGTGGATGGATTTCAGGGCTGGCATGGTAGAAAAGGAGATTTCCACAGGAGTAGAGGACCTGGGGGAGAGACTGGGGGAAAAGGAGAGGACAGAGCGCTGGCTTTATCAGATATAAGGTCCCAATCCTAGCACTGCCAGGCACCCCCAAAACCAGAGGTGTAAAGGGGAAAGAGGCAGAAGGGAGGAAGCAGGTGTAGGTTGAGCAAACGAGGGGCATGGCCAAGAAATGGTTTCAGGGTGTAGTGTTTGTGGCTTCAGATGGATGTGCTAAGAGGGGCGTGGTCGGGGATGATCATTGGAGGGGCGTGGTCCTGATGGGTGTGGCCTAGAGATGAAGCCAGGGAAAAGGCAGAAGCAGTGGAAGGGGAAAGGGGAAACTGGTGGCCTAAGGTCATCAGCCAGGGCCAGGGGGAGCAGTGGGGAGGCAGTGGAAGGAGGGGAGTAAAGGGCACGCAGACCTGCTCAGCTCTTTCCTGCACCCGTGACCCTCTCCTGTCCTCAGGTTCACTCGGAGCAGTGGAAGCTGTCCACCAGCCAGATCCCCGTTCAGCAGGCTCACCTGTTTGATGTCCACAATTACCCAGATTATGTTTCCTCGGGTGGCGGATTCGGGCCTGTGAGTGGCACTGGGGTACTGGGCCCAGAGATACGAGAGCTTGGAAGAGGTAGGGGGGTACATTTGCGTCCTTTCACTCCCTCCCACTCCAGGCGGATGACGATGGCTACGGGGTTTCCTATATCTTCATGGGGGACGACACGGTGACCTTCCACATCGCCAGTAAGAAGTCAAGCACTAAGACAGTAAGGACATGTGAACAGCTCAGCCCGGGAGTCGAGGCCCCAAAGCTCCATCCTCAGACTCAGGGGGTTCAGATCCCAGGCCTCCTCTCTCAAACTGTTGAGTCCTCAGCCCTCCTCCCTCAGACTCTGCCCCCCACCTCACCTCCCACCCCTGGAGCCCTCTCCCTCCAGCCCTGGCCTCAGCCATCCCTCCTTTTAGGACTCACACCGGCTGGGCCAGCACATTGAAGACGCTCTTCTGGATGTGGCTGCCCTATTCCAAGCAAGGCAGCATCTTAAGCACAGATTCGGAAGGGCTGGAGAGGAGTGCTTGAGGTACAGACAGGGATTTCCCTCCAGAAAGACTGCTCCTACAGCATCCACTGACCTCTGACCCGTGCAGGTTCCTACAGCTGGGCTGGCACAGGCTGGGGCAGCCCATGTTGGTGGTCCCATATCTGGGCCAATAAAGAGGTGTGAGCTGGGTGTAATGTGTCCACTATGCTCTTGGGCAGGATCCGGGTAGGGTGAGGGTTCTCCTCCACCCTCCAGCCACTCCAGCATGGATTCATCTCCATCACAACCTCAACCCATAACACCTGCCAAGAGTGGTGCTTTCCTACTAGAGCCCACCAAACCCTCAGCCAGCCTGGACCAAACAACTTACAAGCCCAGCTTCTCTTCCTGTCCACCTTAAACTATTGCCTGGCTGCTTGAGAGACAGAAGTGGCAGGATCACAGATTGAGTTAGTGAGACCTCCATCTAAAAAAAGAAAAAGCCATAGCCGGGCGCTGGTGACTCACGCCTGTAATCCTAGCTACTCAGGAGGCTGAGATCTGAGGATCGCGGTTCAAAGCCAGCCCGGACAGGAGAGACCATGAGACTCCTATCTCCAATAAAGCACCAGAAAACCAGAAGTGGCGCTATAGCTCAAGTGGTAGAGCGCTCGCCTTGAGCTGAAGAGCTGAGGGACAGCGCTCAGGCCCAGAGTTCAAGCCCCACAACCGACAAAAAAAGAAAAAGCCTGGCACTGGTGGCTCACGCCTGTAATCCTAGCTACTCAGGAGGCTGAGATCTGAGGATCGCGGTTCAAAGCCAGCCTAGGCAGGAAAGTCCCTGTGAGACTTTTATCTCCAGTTTTTCACTCAAAAACCAGCAGTGGCACTGTGGCTCAAGTGGTAAAGCACTAGCATTGAGCTGAAGAGCTCAAGGACAGTGCACAGGCCCAGAGTTCAAGCCCCACAAAAAACACCCAGCTACTCAGAAGATCAAGGGAGGAAGATCCAAATTTGAGGCTGGCTGGTTTAAAACATGAGACCCTATCCAAAAATCAAAAGCTTAAGGGGCTGAGGTATAGCTCAGTAGTAGAATGCTTGCCTCAAATGCCCAAGGTCCTGTGTTCAAAACCTAATACGGGGAAGAGGTGGTAGTTTTCATAAGGGTACTAAGCCATTTCCTTGGGAAAAGACAGTCTGTCCAGCAAATGGCATTGGAAAAGCTGGATATTCACATGGAAAAAGTCCAGATTGGGTTTTTACTTAATATCATATGTCAAGATTTTCTCAAAAAGGATCAAGAATGTAAATGTCAGAAATATAAAACTCCAAAGGAAAACATACGGGAAAACAATCATGACATTCAATTTGGCAGGGATTTCTTGCATGATACTGAAAGCACAAGGAACTGAAAAACATTAAAATAGCTCCGTTGGACTCTATCCTAATCTCACACTTCTAACTGGGTAGGGTGTTGCATTACTGTAATCCCAGCACTCAGGAGGCTGAGACAGGAGGATCATAAATTCTCAACTGAAGCTGGGCTACATAACAAGACTTTATCTCAAAAACCTAAGACTAGCCAGGCACCAGTGGCTCACGTCTGTAATCCTAGCTACTCAGGAGGCTGAGATCTGAGGGTCACAGTTCAAAGCCAGCTCAGGCAGGAAAGTCTGTGACACTCTTATCTCCAATAAACTAACTCAGAAAAAGCTGTAAGTGGCACTGTGGCTCAAGTGGTGGAGTGTGAGCCTTGAGCAGAAGAACTCAGGGACCAAACCAAGATCCTGAGTCCATGCTTATATTAGCTCTCCAAGAAAATAATTTGCATTGATTCATTCAAATTAACATTTTATTGTGTTTTGTTTTTTTTGAGAGAGAGTCTCATTACACATTTCAGGTTGGCTTCTCCACCCTCTAACCTCTATCCCAGTGCTGGGATTATAGACATGTGCCACCATGCCCAGCATAAACATTTATTAATGTCAAAAAACCATATTAATGGGGGCTGGGAAGGTGGCTCAATGGTAGAGTGCTTGCCTTGCATACATGAGGCCCTGGGTTTGATTCCTCAGCACCACATAAGCAGAAAAAGCCAGAAGTGGTGCTGTGGCTCAAGTGGTAGAGCACTAGCCTTGAGCAGAACAGCTGAGGGACAGCGCCCAAGCCCAGAGTTCAAGCCCCACGACTGATGAAGAAAAAAAACACAACATATTAATGGTTCCAAGTGTTTTATATTATTAAGGAATTAGTGTAATCCCTTGTGCTCAATAATGAAATTGTGGTTGGATTTAAAAGTCTCCCTGTAAAGAAAAGCTCAGAAAAGTGCTTAGGGAGAAAATGGAAGGCTGTGATGGTCTCCCAAATATCCCAGAGCACAGCGGTGAGATTAGCTGTTCCTGCCACTGAAACATGTTCCCACAAATGTAGCATCTTAAAAGAACATCAATTTACCTACCTGAGCTCTAGGGGCCAGAAGTCAAGGCAGGTTTCACTAAGCTGAAATCAGGTGTGGGCAGGGATGGCTCCAAGAGACCCAGCTGTTTGGGGGGCGGGGCTGTCCTGGCAAGAGGCGGGCCTTATGGGTGTGTCTGTCATGGGGCGGGGCTGCTTTGGGCAGGGCTGTGCTGGAAGGGGTGGGGCTTGTTGGGGGCGGGGCTCTGTTGCAGAGGCGGTGTCTGTGCTCTTCCTCACCAGCTTCCCCATGGTAATCTTAGGCTCATGGCGAATTCCTCCACCTTCAGCATTATGCACCTCACTACCATGGTCATCTCTTCTTCGAACTCGCCCCTGCCTTCCTCTTAGACTTGTGAGAGACTTTGTTTTTTTTTTTTTTGGTCGGTCATGGGGCTTGAACTCTGGGCCTGGGCGCTGTCCCTCAGCTCTTCAGCTCAAGGCGAGCGCTCTACCACTTGAGCTACAGCGCCACTCCCGGTTTTCTGGTGGTTTATTGGAGATAGGAGTCTCACGTCTCTCCTGCCCGGGCTGGCTTTGAACCGTGATCCTCAGATCTCAGCCTCCTGAGTAGCTAGGATTACAGGCGTGAGCCACCGGCGCCCGGCTTGTGAGAGAGTGATTAGCAGGTGTTGGTGGTTTACGGCTTGTAATTCCAGCTACTTGGGTAATTGATATCGGAAAGATCGAAGTTCCTGGCTAGCCCAGGCAGAAATCTGTGCTATTCTACCTCCAGGAAGTGACATTGGATTCTGTGACACCTGCCTGTAATCCCAACTACTTAGAAGGCAGTGGCAGGAAGATTATAAATATGGAGCCAGCCCAAGCAAAAAATAGCAACATCCTGTCTCGTGTGTGTGTGTGTGTGTGTGTGTGTATGTGTGCGCGCATGCCCAATATTGAGGGCTCAATGTCCTGATTGCTGGGACTACAGGAATTTGCTCTCTTGTCTGCTTTATGTTCATACACCTTTTACCCAGCTTCCTTGGCACACACACATTTTTTTAAAAAAATTGTGTGGTTGGATTTTCTATAACCCCATAGGCACTATTTTGTGGGGGGTATTGGGGTTTGAACTCAGAGCCTTGGGCTGTCCCATGGCTTCTTTGCCTGGGAGTCTACTGCATTCCCATTCTTTGCAATTTGTGGATTTAGGGGCAGGGAAAGTGGCTTAGTGGTAGAGTGCTTGCCTAGCATGCACAAGGCCCTGGGTTCGATTCCTCAGCACCACATAAACAGAAAAAGCCAGAAGTGGCACTGTGGCTCAGGTGGTATAGTGCTAGACTTGAGCAAAAAGAAGCTCAAGGGGGTCTGGGAAGGTGGCTCAGAGGTAGTTTGCCTTGCATGCATGAGGCCCTGGGTTCAATCCCTTAGCACCACATAAATAGAAAAAGCTGGAAGTGGTGCTGTGGCTCAAGTGGTAGAGCGTTTGCCTTGAGCTGAAGAGCTGAGGGACAGCACCCAGGCCCAGAGTTCAAGCCTCATGACTGAAAAAACAAAAAGCAGCTCAAGGATAGTGCTCAGTTCTGAGTTCAAGCCTCAGGACTGGCTAAATAAATAAATAAAGGGCACTGGTGGCTCATACCTGTAATCCTAGCTACTGAGGCTGAGATCTGATGATCATAGTTCAAAGCCAGCCTAGGCAGGAAAGTCCAATTAGCCACCAGAAAATGAAGTAGCACTGTGGCTCAAGTGGTAGAGCTCTTGCCTAGAGCTGAAGAGCTGAGGGACAGTACCTAGGCCCAGAGTTCAAATCCCACAACCAATAACAAAAAAAAAAAAGGTGGATTTTTCTATAAACAACACACTTCATTTATATATATATATATGTTTTTTTTAATTGATTTTGTCAGTTGTGGGTCTTGAATTCTGGGCCTGGGTGCTGTCCCTCAGCTCTTCAACTCAAAGCTAGTGCATTACCATTTGGGCCACAGCACCATTTCCTGCTTTTTCTATTTGTGGTGCTGAGGAATCAAACCCAGGGCCTTATGCATTTAAGGCAAGCACTCTACCACTGAGCCACCTTCCCAGCCCTTCATTTTTATTTTTATGCCTGTACTGGGACTTGAACTCAGGGCCTGGATGCAGTCTCTTAGCTTTTGCAATCAAGGCTAGTGCTCTACCACTTGAACCACAGCTCTACTTTTGGCTTTCTGATGATTAATTGGAAATGTTTCCTGTCTGGTGGGCTTTAAGATGAAGTCCTCAGCTCTCAGCCTCTGTAGGTAGGATTACAGGCATGAGCCACTGTCACCTGGCCTCATGGGAATTCTTTTTCTCTTTCAATGAACCAATTCCCCTCCTCTTCACTAACACCCCATTCTCCTTCAAGGGAGATTCCTGGGTGACCCCTCTTTGATGCCAAAAGGGAGACATAATTCATGCCAGCATGAGAGGCCATTTATTGTTCAGGGGCTGGGCCCCCACGTTTTGGGGGAGCCCCTCCACTACTTCCTCCCCCCATTGTCCCTGTAGACCCCTCAAGCGGCAGGTGGCTGAGCTGGTCATGGAGGGAGCACATCTTCAAATGTAGATAGTCAAGAGCGGCCACCTTCTCCCTGTAATCACAGCCAATGGGGGTGGGTCTTTCGGTGCTGGTGAGGCTTGGTGCTGGGTATGGCGAGTTGGGGTGTTGGGTATGGTGGCAGAAGGAGAGGCAAGGCCCTTTTCCAAAGATCTCACCCTCCTCCCATGCCCTCCGCCTCCTTCCTCACTCCGGCTTCATCTTGTCCGTCAGCAGCAGGTTCTTGGCCCGCAGGGCCTCGTCTTGGGCCAGCCGAAGTGTGGAGCTCAGGGCCTCTGCCCTGACGTGTTTGGCCAAGGCCTGGCGCTCCAGCTCCTGGGGAGAGGGGTGTAGGCGCCGCTGGGCTTGCTGGACTGGGCTGGGGGTGGAGGGGGGAGCTGGATCGCGGAGGGCAAGGGGCAGGGTCCCATGGGGCCCATATACCACCCCACCCATCATCATGCCCCCAGCCTGAGACGCTGGCATCCCACAGTGCACTGGTCTCACAAAGCCTCCTGTGTCTGTTCCCATCAAGCCTGAAATCATGTCCAAAATATTGTCCCCTAATGTCTGTGAACAACCCTGTATTGGAGGTTCATGGTGACATTCTACATCTGATCACTGAAAAGACCCCATCATCTAGGATCTAGGAGACCAGCATCTCATAATTGTCTCTAGCAATGTGGCTCTCTACTTCCCACAATGCACCAAGCCTTTGGCCTCCCACACATTAGACCTATGGCTCTAGCTCACAAATATCCCATGTTAACTTCGCCTGTCTGCCTCACCCACAACCTATCTTATATCCCCTACACCAGCATCCCTTAGGGATCCCCCTGGATTTCTATGGTCTTACAATGCACCACACGCTAACAGCTATGGAACTTGAGTCTGCCCTGCAATACCCCAGGAAGATCTGTGGTTCCAATTGCTTCCTATGATCTATTGTCATTAGGTCCATTGTCTAGCCTCAGGGATCCCTGTCTCTCTGTAGGTCTATAGGAAATCAGGCCCATGCTTCCTGATATCTGTTCTTATGGCCACTCATGTTTTGGGCCCAAATCCATCACCCAAGTTTACTCATGATGGGTCCATGACTCAGTAACCACCAAGCTATTTGTCCCACCCCCTCACGAATCATAGCAAGGCCTTTCCCAATGCCTGCTTGTCCCCAGCCTGGCCCTTCCCTTCCTGCCTGGCACCAGCATACCCGTATGCCCAGGGTTCCCCATCCCCTGCTCTGACAGAAAAGCAAAATGGAACGTGGTAGCCCATGGTCCCTGGTACCAGAATCTTCTTGTGTAGCCGCTGGCAGCTAGGACAGGCAGGAGCCAGACCTCTTTGCTTCACCTCATCCACTAGTGGGGTCAGTGCTCGCTCCAGTAACTGCTGCAAGGACTCCGTGGACAACTGCTGCCCCTGGCTGGGGGAAGGGGAGAGGGCCATACCGACTCCATTCCCAGGATGCCCCAGCATCCTACCCTACCCTGCACCTAATGCAACCTGCCCACCATGCACCACCAATGGTTCACCAGGTGACCTTCACTTACTACTCAAAAGGCACCAGATAGGCCTCCCAGCGCATGAGTTAAATCTGATCTTAGGAAGTTCTGGGAACCACCCCCCCCTTTCCCCATCTTGATTTTCCAGGACACACAGATCTCACTTTCTGCACAACATATTTAGACACCCTGTCTCCCACTTGAACCACACCGGAGCCTTCTCACAATGCACTTGGAAACAGGATCCTCTCAATGTATCAAGTCTTCCTCCAGCTCCTCAAGAAACTAATATTATCTAATGGGGAGGGAGGAAACTTGGCTCTCATAATACAGCATGATTGGCGGGTCCTCAAATGCACTGGGATGTGTGTGTGTGTGTGTGTGTGTGTGTGTGTGGCTTGAAATCAGGGCCTAGGCCTGTTTTCACCACTTGAGCCAAAGCTCCACTTTTCATTATTTTGTTTGCAGAGGGTGGGGTATCAGTCGTGGGGCTTGAACTTTGGGTCTGAGCGCTGTCCCTCAGCTCTTCAGCTCAAAGCAAGCGCTCTACCAACCACTTGGGCCACAGCGCCACTTCCGGTTTTCTGAGTGGTTTATTGGGGATAAGAGTTTTACGGACTTTCCTGCCTGGGCTGGCTTTGAACCGTGATCCTCAGATCTCAGTCTTCTGAGTAGCTAGGATTACAGGCGTGAGCCACAGGCATTTGGCCTGTACTGGGATTCTTTGTCTCCCAAGGGACAGACTCCCCTATCCTTGGCTAATAGTGTCAAATCTCTTTCAATATATTTCAATTCTGACGACCCAGAAGGTACCAGCCTCATCCCCCATACCTGGCGCAGCGGGTACAGGAGCCTTGGGAGGACCGATCCAGGTTTACGGAGTGGTCAGGTCCCCTTCGAGAGTTCTGAAATTGCCGTCCCAGCTCTTCCAGAATCGGTTTCACTGGGCCCAGCCCCTCCAGTTCGCTCCTTAGTGAAGCCATGTTCACGGCGGACCGCTCCACCCTGGGGCAGGAGAGGTACCAGTGCTGAGCAGTCCTCTCCTCTCAAGCCTGCACCCACTATTAGCCAAGGACCTGCAGTTACTTGTCTCCCAAACATTCACACATTCACACTTAATAGCTGATTGCCTCTGGTCCGGTTCTCTGATTGGCCTTCCTTGATTCCGTTTGTCCCCGCCCCTTAACCTTATAAGGTGTTGGACACACCCCTTTCCGTATGGGAATGCTTTCCTGTTGACTGATTGGCTGTTCTTCAAATTACTAAGCGGCGTGAAGCACTCGGACCCAGTTGATTGGCTCACCCGTTTCCTTAAACCCTGCCCTCAGTTGACTCTGCTCCCCTCTCCTTGGCGTCCTCCCCATTCCCCCCAGCCCCACGCAGCCCTTACATGGTGCACAGCTCGTCAGCTCGACTTCGCAGCTCCTGCAAGCCCCGCGCTGACTGCGCCTGCTCGCGCTGTGCCCGCTCCCACTGGCCCAGGAAGCCGTCCAGTCGACCGCCCAGTCCCCCGAGCAGCCGCAGGGCCTCCTGCACCGCGCCCTCCTCCTGGTGCCACCGGGCGGTCAGCGAGGACACCTCCCTCCTGGGTGGGGACAAGGATTGGTCACTTGGCTATTAGTCCCATTCAAGGAGAACACTGTCTTCCAACATCCAGACCTAGCTGCTCCCCGAATTCCCTCATGCCATCCATTTGTGGAAATCCTGAGTGCTGCCTTTATTCTCTCTCCCCGTTGGCTAGCCTGACTTGAACCTGGACTCCCCAGTTGCAACCACAAGGCTCTGCTCCTCACAACCCTGTCTAGTTTGGCGCCTCAGACACCAAGAAATCTCTAACCCATCAGTCCCAATCTCAAAAATTAGTTCTTCAAGGAATGACCTATGGCCGGGCGCCCGTGGCTCACACCTGTCATCCCAGCTACTCAGGAGGCTGAGATCTGAGTATCGCGGTTCAAAGTCAGGCTGGATAGTCCCTGTGAGATTCTTACCTTCAATTAACCACCAGAAAACCGGAAGTGGAGCTGTGGCTCAAGTAGTAGAGTACTAGCCTTGAGCAAAAGAGCTGAGTGACAGCGCCCAGGCCCAGAGCTCAAGTCCCACGACCAACAAAAAAAAAAAAAAAGAGAGATCTGCCCATAAAGATGACTACCCCAGAACTCTCCCTAGACTACACCCCTAAGCCATGCTCAAGATGGTTTTTGTTACCCTAGTCCGGTCCACTTCCATTATTAAAAGTTCCACCCAGGGCCCCACCCCCCCACGTTGAGGCCACACCCACATCCCCGCCCACACCGCCTCCAGGACACACCCCTTACCTCCTCCAGGGCCCATCCCTTTGTCCCCTCCCACATCAGCTGCTCGTGGCCACGCCCCCTTCGGCCCCGCCCACCCAGGCCTCTCCCAGCCCCACCCCTCGGCCCTGCCCACCTCAGCTCTTCCAAGCCGGCTGAGACCTTTTGCAACTCCTGCTCGCTCACGTAGGGGACCTCCCCTGCCCGGGACCCCACTCCCCAGGCCCCGGGGGCCAGGCAGCGCGGCCGCGGGGTGTCCTCGGAGTTCCCCGAGGAGCCGGAGCAACCCTGGTTCACAGCAGAGGGGCACAGGCCGTGCCGGGAGAGGCCGGCCTCCAGCTTCTGCTCCAGCTCCTGCATCTCAGCCTCCTGCCTCCTCGGAGTCTCGTCCTGAAGTTGCTGTTGGAGGTAACGCAGCTTCTCCTGGGCGGAAAGGGGTCATGGCATCCAACCCCATGCCAGCCGCCAATCCATCCCAGCTCTCCCCATGTCTAAAGAGCCTTCCACTGACTGGCCTTAAGGGAAGAGATGGAGGTCCAGCTGGAGCCCAATCCATTTCAACGTCGGCTAGCCTGCCACCCTGGCTCCATCCGCCCCCAATCCAGGCTCTCTGTGTGCCTGCCCCTCAGGAAGAAACACCAGCACACACTTGGGCAGGACTTGCTGTCTCTGTGACTTGCAGGTGACTGCAGGGGGGAAGGGCAGGAGGAAGGGGCAGGGGAGGAGAGCCACCCAGCTGGATGTGGCAGTAGGGATGGTGGCAGGGCAGAAAGATCCTTCGGCGGTGGATCTCTTTTCCCCCACAAACACTAGGCCCATCTTCCCTTCCCACCTTACCTCCAGGAGGGCAGAATTCTGTTTCAAGACGTTGGTTTTGATTTCAGCGTCTTCCACCGATCGGGTCACCTTCCGGCAGTTCTCCTGGGCCAGGATATCAGGGCGCAGGCCCTACCTTCCCATTCCAGTTCTGCCTCCCGACCCTTAGCCTTGCTATTTCCCTAAGGATCCCCCCGCCCCTCCCTGCAAACAGGATTCACCCCCTTGGCTAAAGGGACCTCTCCCTTCTTAGCCAAACTTTTCCTGTACCCCCCACCCCCACGTCATCCCAACTCTCATATACCCCTCATTCCATTCCTTCCCTTCTCTTCATTTTTTTTTTCAGTTCCATTACTGGGACTTGAACTTAGGGCTTCATGTATTTGCTTGGCATTTTGTTCAAAAATGGTGCTCTACCACTTGAGCCACAGCACCACTTCCAGTTTTCTGGTGGTTTATTGGAAAGTCTCACAGACTTTCCTGCCCAGGTTGGCTTTGAACTGTGATCCTCAGATCTCAGCCTCCTGAGTGGCTAGGATGATAGGCATGAGCCACGGGCACCCAGCACTTCTAGTTTTGGGGATCTCACAGAGTTCTAGTTTTTATGGAAGCCTCACAGACTTCCCTGCCAAGGCTGGCTTTGAACCAGGATCCTCAGCTCTCAGCCCCACTGAGTAACTAGGATTACAAGTGTGAACCACTGGTGTCTGGCTAGTCCATATTCTTTATTCCTATTGTCTTCACCCCATCCTACCCCTCACCCCTAGCACCTCACCTTGAGTTGACTACAATACCCTTCCAACTCTTCTGCTTCCTGACGCCTTCTTTCTAGATTCTCGCTCAGCACAGAACACTCGCTCTTAAGCATGGAAGAGAGGAGGGTTAGCCAAAGCTGGAGGGAGCAGCCCAGAAATCTTTTCCTTCTAATTCTCAAACAACAATCTGGGCTATAAATTGACTGCAGAGCAGGCTCTATCTAAGAGGTACTCAGATGAAGAGGGAGTATTTGGGGGAGAAGGGGCTCCTCATACCTGCAGGGTTTGTACATGTTGGTTAACTCGGGTGGTCTTTTCCTTCAAGCTGGTGATGGAGTCTTTGGCGCGGACCAATCCACTATTGACCCCACTCTGGTAGAAGAGTAGGAGACAGGACGGGAGAGGGGGGGGGGTTTCAATCCGTGTGTGAAAGCCAGCCTCAACCCGAAGACAAATTCTAGAACTAGGAGGCTGTGTTTACACCCGGATTTTGTCTTGGGATGATTTGTGACTTTGGTCAGGGGCAGCGCCTCTTTGACTCTGAGTCAAGAATCTTAGGATAGACATTGCTTCTTCGTGTTGTGCTTAGAGAGCTATTCAGACTCTTGAGGTAGAAATAAAAAGGTAAACTGGTAAACTGTTAATGACAGTATAGAGTGTCTCATGCCTGTAACCCCAGCTACTCCAGAGACCTGAAAAAGAGGTTTGAAGCCAGCCCAGGCAAAAAGTTAGCATGATCTCATCTCAACCAATAGCTGCACATGATAGGGGTAGGCCTGTGATCCCAGCTACTTAGGAAGTATAAAATAAGGGGATCACGATCCAGGCTGGCCCTAGACATAAACTATGAGACACTATTTGAAAAAGTAAGTAAAGCAAAAAGGGCTGAAGGTGTGTGGCTCAAGTTGTAGAGCAACTACAATTTTCAAATCTTAGTACCAACAAAAGAAAACCTCAAACTGTGCAAATATATGCACATATGCCATTGGGAATGGTAAGACGAGTCCACTTTCCAGATTTGAGCATTTGTGTACCATCAGGTCCAGCACCCATGCAGATAATCTCTTTTCTTCCCCATAACCAAATCTCTTGAGATGATTTGGCCCATGTAAGATGTGGGGCAAAAGGATCTCAGAGACAGACATCCCATGTTCTTTCAGGTAGATAACATATTAGATGGCCTAACCAGGATTTAGTTTTTTACTTATCAATATTAGTTATTATTGAATTGTAACATCCTGCATTTTCTCCATATTATCTAGAAACATTTCCTTTTCAGCCTTGGTTCTAGAGTGTGAAATCCTTACTCTTGCTAGATGGGTACTCTACTGCTGAGCCAAACCTCCAGACATTTTTGAGACAGGGCCTCCAATTCTGCCAGGGCATCTTCATGGACTGTGATTCTATTTCAGGATTCTTGCTATGGCTGAGATGACAGGTGTGCCTCACCTTGCCCGGCTATTGGGTAAGATAGGGAATTACAAACTTCCTGCCTGAACTTTTTGCCTCACACTGTGATACTCCTACTAATTTTGGCCTCCCAAGTAGCTAGGATTATAGGAATGAGACACTGGTACCCAGCAGGCTCCTATTTCTTAACTTTCTAGGATTTAAACTCAGAAACTTTGTTTTAAACCATGACATGTGACCTCAGATCATCACTCTATACCACCAGAAAATACTTTATGCCTCCTCCTGAGGAATGGTGGCAGGATGTAGTGTCTGGACTTCAAGCCTTAGCTTGACACGATTATTCAGACTACATTTCCCAGAATCCATTGCAGACAGCTGTGGTCATGTGACTCCTTTCCTGCCAATGGAGTGTGGGTGGAACTAGTCTATCAGTTTTAGAGTCATGCTTTAAAAAAAAAGGCATCAGAAAATGAGAATTCTCTATTTTCCCCAATTGTCTGGAAAGCAAAACTGGCAGCCATTCTTTGGACCAATGTCCAAGCTGGCCATGGCAAAAAATGAGACCTTAGTTGAAAAATATCATAAAAATGAAAAGACATGGGGGATTCGGCTCATGTAGTTTGAGTAGCTAACAATTGCCAGGCCTAGAATTGACACCCCAGTATTCTGCTAGAAAAAAAAAAGTTGGGGTATGTGGCTGAGTGGTAGAGTGCTTACTTAGCATATGTGTGGCCCTACATTACATCCCCTCAAAATAAAAGTTAAAATAAGAAGCCAGGCATGGTAGCACACACCTGTAATTCCAGCACTAAGGAGTCTGAGGCAGAACAGTTGTGAATTTGAAGCCAGCTGAGACTCTGTCTCAAAACATAATAAAATAAAACAAACAACTACTCAGTAACAGCAACACACACTTAGGGGAGGAGACAATCTATGTGAATGTTTGCCACATTTTAATAGTTGAAATTAGCTGGACACTGGTGGCTCATGCATGTAAACCTAGCTACTCAGGAGGTGAGATCTGAGGATCAAGGGTCAAAGCCAGACCAGGCAGGAAAGTCCTTGGGACTCTTATCTCCACTTAACCACTAGAAAACTGGAAGTGGCACTATGGTTCAAAGTTGTAGAGTTCGCTGGGAAGGTGGCTCAGTGGTAGAGCACTTGCCTTGCATGCCTGAGACCCTGGGTTCGATTCCTCAGCACCACATAAGCAAAAAGAAAAAAGCCAGAAGTGGCGCTGTGGCTCAAGTGGTAGAGCGCTAGCCTTGAGCTGAAGAG